TTTAGAACAATCACCATGTCAAAACTACAAGTTTCATCAAAAACCTTGCCTGCAATACGACAGAGGTACAGAGTAGCACTTCATTTCATTTTGCTGAGGTTTCTTATATAAAGAATCAATCTTTTTTACTAACAGAGAAAGATACAATTTTATAAGCTAAGAGTGGGCTTATATCTGGCAAAGAGCACATTGACAATTTCTTGGCAAAATAAAATATATGGAGATATAATATTGATATTAATATCTATCTACCTATATTCTTAGAGAATACTTAGAAATTAGCTTTTGGGGGGTTTATTATGTTTTTGGACTCTCCAATAACAATGCATTTGAAATCTCATTTTTATTTGATATTCGCATAGCTATTTCATTTTTATTCTCAAATAAGAACTGAGGGGTAGTCAAGGTGGGCAGGTTGTAAAAGTAAAATGCAGAGAGTCCAAAACCGAGAAAAAAAATTTTGGAGCCAAGGTTTTATAACTTCTATAACCCCAAACTCCTTCCACCCGAGAGTGGTATCAAGTTGTAAAGCAGAATTTGATAAACCATAGTTTTAGAAGGCAAAATTATTCTAATTTGACTAGCTACTTAATCAAACTTTGTGCCCAGCAATGAATGAAAGTATATGATTTAGAAATATAGAAAATAATCTCAAAATTATGAAATTTGAAGTTCCACACAGAGGGAAAGAAACAGGTACAAACAGGTTCCTGGGTTTGTAGTTAGAAACTTCCAGAGCTACAACCTGACAACTGTATAACTTTCAATAATGGAAAACAGATAAAACACAACAACCTAAAACAAATAAGTACCACTAATTGAATATAAAGTGCTGGCTCATTGCTTGCCATATGGTAGGGACTTACTGCAAATTTTTTCAACTTTATCTAGGAATACAAGATCCTTCCTTTAATTTGTCAAAGGTAAAAGTAGGCTTTAACATCTGCTTTATTTATTTTTAATAATAATTTAAGAAATGTTATTTAAACCAAAATGAGCAATGGGGAGGTTTGAAAGAACATGTAATGAAATTGCAATATACATATGTAATGTAAATACTGAGTATATCTTACATATAAAAAGAAAAAGAAATTAGTGTTTTCTGTCATGTGAAACGTGAATTAAATGATTTAGAAACAAATACTCAGCTATGAAATTTTAAGATACTAGAGGACCAGTGCATGAAATTTGTGTACTCAGGGGTCCCTCAGCCCAGCCTGCGCCTTCACGCAGTCCGGGAGCCCTTGGGGGATGTCTGACTGATGGCTTAGGCAGAGAGCAGGCCTAAGCCATTAGTTGGATATCCTTAGCAATGCTGTGGAGGCAGGAGAGGCTCCCACCACCGCTGCTGCACTTGCCAGCCATGAACCAGGCTTCTGGTTGAGCAACGCTCCCCCTGTGGGAGCGCACTGACCACCAGGGGGCAGCTCCTGTGTTGTGAGGCTGCCCCCTGGTGGTCAGTGTGCATCATAGCGACCGGTCATTCCACTGTTTGGTCGATTTGCATATTAGCCTTCTATTATATAGGATTATGTTAATGGAGAACAGGGATAACTTTTACTGTTTCCACCCTCCTCCTCTTTCTAGAATATTAATTTATGATCCCAAAATGGCTTTGGGCCACATTTATGAGTGATGGTGGAAGAGGGAACATATTTTTTTAAAAATTATGCTACCAAGTCAGACACTCCTTTGTCTTCCTCTGACCAATTCTGAGGAAGCCAGGAAAGAGGAAGGTAGCTGTGTCTTCAGAAAAATCAGTCTTCTAGCTGTCTCACTCTACCTCCTGCTTACTCAGGACTGGATTACTTAACTAACTGCGCCTGGGTCTGCCCCTAGGTATATAATTTCTTCTCCTTCTTCTTTCTTTTTGACCTTGGACATGCAAATTATATCCTTTGGTGATGCGATTATAGAAACTTTCCTCTTCTTTTAGGGCTTAAATGTTTGCAGCCAAATTACCAGAGAGCATTGCATCAAGAATTATGATAATCATGACATCAGTAAACCAAGTCAACCTGGATGTCTTGTTTCCCATTTGCCATTTTCCCTTGTGCTAAAACCTCTCAGTAACATCACAGGGAGAACAGCTGTGTTATGGTGTGTGTGTTCTGTGAAGGTTGAAGGGAGGGGTTCTGTGGATATTACTGAGTCCCCTAGTGCCTTAACATTAAAAATCTGTCCTCATCTCTAACAACCTGATTCTACTCAGAGGAAGGCATAATGGAAACAGAGCAGAGAGATCCAGGAAGGATTGGAAATGTGGGGAGGCCAATTGAGGACATGTTAAACCATGAATCACTCTTTACAAATTATAAATCTCATACTAATTTTTATGAAAGAAAGAATGTTCATAGAAAAATTTTTAAATGTTCTATTAATTTATAAGTTTCCAGATATAAAATTTAATTAAATGGAGTCTAATTGGCACATTTTGTGTACTATTGGTGGGGATGTAAATTGGTGCAGCCACTATGGAAAATAATATGGAGGTTTTTTGAAAAATTAAAAGTAGAACTACCATATGATCTAGCGATTCCACGTCTGGGTATTTAGCTGAAGAAATATATAACACTAATTCAAAAAGATATATGCAGCCCTATGTTCATTATAGCATTATTAACAATAGCCAATATATGGAAGCAACCTAAATGTCCATTAATAGACAAATTAATAAAAAGATGTGGTACATATGTACAATGGAATATTACTCAGCCATAAAAAACAAATGAAATCTTACTATTTGCAACAACATGGATGAACCTGGAGGGTATTATGCTAAGTGAAATAAGTCAGCTAGAGAAAAACAGATTCCTTATGATTTTATATTTAGGTAGAATTAGAAAACAAAACAAGCAAAAAAAAAAAAAACAACAAAGAAAAAAGTAATAATATTGAAGGGAAGCAGAGTTTTCCATTCTAAAATATGCTGTTGGGGATATTATTTTTAAAGTTGGATATTTTCAAGAAAGACGACTCAGGAAAAACCTTTGGCCCCTTACCCACCTAAAGGAATTTAGATAGAAAACCTGCTCCAGGAAGAAAACTATCATCTTAGATAACATGAATTAAATGCGATTGACAAGGAGGAAGCTAGTAAGAATCTTTTGATTAAAATCCTCCCTGTGTCCCTTTGTAAGTATGGCCCAGCAAGCATTTATTGACCAAACATTTGCTTTTTCATCTCCACGTGAATTGCCTTCCCACGCTTTAAAGTCCCAAACCATAACTCTCAACCCCCTTTCCCCTAAGCTTGAGAGGGCATGTAAGCCCCATCTGTCCTATATATATTTTCGTAAAGCAAAGTGGGATTTCCTGAGGATGCAATAACTTTCTAATAGACATTGTCCTACTATAATCATTTTGTCTTCTTTTGCAGATCCGTTCTAAACCCAACAGTGAATCCTTTCTGAATCTGTCATCTTGCCTGGGGTTGCTTGAATATGGAAAAGTCAGATGATGAAATTCAGCAAGGAAAGGTGGCTACTCTGTAGTGTTTTTGTGTGTATGTTGTTGTTTTTTAATCCTAACCCTGGGACATGTTTTTTATTGATTTGAAAGAGAGAGGAAAGGGATATAAGGGGGGTGGGGGGGAGGGAGAGAGAGAGAGAGAGAGAGAGAGAGAGAGAGAGAGAGAGAGAGAGAGAAACATGCCCCAAACAGGAATACAACCCACAGCCTTTTAGTGAATGGGAGGACATTCTAACCCACAGAGTCACCCAGCCAGGGCAAGCTGGCTACTTTGCTTCTCTGCCTCAGAAAACATGTGCTCTACATTGAAAATTGAATAAACCATTATGGTAGATCATAATTAACTTCCATTTTAACTGTTAGAAGTTGACCTCCTGAAATAGGAAAGTCTGATACATATATGTATATATACAATGAAGTTTGTGGCCAAAATTTTTGATATTTTACATCTACCGAATCCATGCCTCTGAGTCACTTAACCTATTGAGTCTTTATATCAATAATGGCAGAATACTCGACAATTTAAAGTTTAAGTCATACTAAACTGAACAAGACATCACCTCATTAACAGTAAGATCACCACTGTGGTCTATGATAGCAAAACTAATTAACTTCTAAAATGTTAAATCAGGCACTTATCAGGAAGCAATTCTCAAAATCTGCTGAAAACCAACTGCGATAAATTTTACACACACATTTTGAGTGTGGGCCTCACTGCTTACGTTAGCATCCTAATTTCATCACTTACTAGTTAGAGACTTGTAGGTAGATTCCTTATTTTCCAAGACTCCATTCTCTCATCTGCAATATCTGCACAGTAATAATATTGAAATCATAGGATTGTTGTGAACATTGAAAAGCTAACCTGCATAAGCATTCAGTCTATAAGGTAGAAAAGGATAACAATGACCATGTAAGGTGAGTCCTATATAACTTCCCCTGTCATCCCTACCATACAGATGCATAAACTGTGCCTCAGAATTGTTACATTATTTGTTTAAGAAACCACAGCTGGTAAATAATGAACTCAGGCTTAAAATATAATTGGAGACTTCTAGATTTAATTTTTTCATTTATATCAAACTTCTTCACTTAGATTTTTATCTTGGTTTATATGTGTATCGGAATCACAAATGTTTCTGGTTACATCTTTCCCAGGCCAAGAGTAAGAAACCCATGCAAAATGGAAGATACTAAATTAATGTAATTTTTAAAAAATATTGTCTAAACTCATGGATCACAAAAAAAACTGAAAACCATCCAAGATCTATCTCAACATTGAATACGTAACTCATCCTCTGATTAGGAAAATTGTTAATTAATTTAATTAATAGTTTAATTAAATGTGGCTTCTCAAAATAATTATTTTTCATTTTCTATAATATCTTATATGCAATTATTAATCTAAATTGCAGTTGCAGAACTAAATATACTTGAACAGTGATCATAACAAGAAATGTTGATATGTCAATTAAAACAAATTTTTTTTGGAGCAGGAAAAAATAAAATTGAAATGTCAAAGCACTTACTGCAGCTTGTCGATGAGTATTGGAAAGTATTCCGTGAATCTTCACTTTGTCCTTTTCCATTTGGTCTATGTTCACCCACAAATCCCGGCTGGCAGAATCAGATGGACCATATATCCGAGATATATAGTAATTGTGATCTGTGTCCTCCTGTTATAATAGAGAAAAATGCACATAAAGAACAGAGCATGGATGGACCTTGAGGGCAGTATGCTAAGTGAAATAAGTCAGAGACAGATAAGTACTGTATGTTCTTATATGTGCAATCTAAAAAAGCTGAACTCATAGAAACAGGGTAGGATGGTGGTTACCAGGGGCTGGGGATTTGGAGAAACGGGGAGATGTTGGTCAAAGGGTACAAACTGCCAGTTATAAAATGAATAAGTTCTGGGGATCTCCTGTACAGCATGGTGACTATAGTTAACACTGTAATACATGTACACTATTATGTACTTGAAAGTTGCTAAGAGAGTAGATTTTAAATGTTCTCCCCACAACAAAGAACTGATAATTATGTGATATGATGTCAGTGTTAGCTAATGCTACCATGGAAATTATTTTGTAATATATTATTGTACCAAATCAACATATTTTGTAGATAAACTTACACAATGTTACATGTCAACTTTATCTCAATAGGGCTGGAGAGAAAAGAAGCATTTAATCCAATTTATGTAATTTACAGAGTTATAGACAGTTTCATGAAAAAGAAAAAAGGGTCAGTTCTCAAAAGAAATGAACAGAGACATGATCCCCACAATTCTTAAAATACAAACTAAATAATGATATTATGAAATTAAAAATGTTAGTATTCTTCAAAACAACTAAAGGAGTTAACTTCTAATGGATGTGAATTAGATAAAAGATATATAAAATTAGTAAGCTTCTTTAGAAAAAATTTATAAATAAACAATAGTCTTTCTATTACAGGGATCTCTCTAATTGCTGACCAAAGAAAATGCCACTCTTAGAACTATTTAATGAAAACTTGAACTATAATTACCATTGAGTGACAACAAATTCAAACTTCTCTTCTTTAAAGCTGGGGTTACATTAGGGTCTGCTTTAAGTTAAAGATCCTAGAAATGGATAGTATATTTTTTCTCTATAATTTGGGTTACTAAATTCTATTTTTATGTGATTCTCATTATTGGTATCACCATGGTGCCTGCTACAAAACCTTTATTTTTCATGTCTCTCACTCAGTGCAAAGACTTAAATGTTTTAAAAGGCAATTTTGAAGAGAAACTCCCAGAAAATAAAATGATTCTTGACTAATTCAAATTGCAATTTTTTTTTTTTTACCACGAAATGTAATTGTGCATATCAATTTGTGGAGCCCACTAGATAGAATATATTTTAAAACATTCAGGTATATGTAAGAATAATGGTTATTGGTTATAGGGTCTGTGATTTGAATAATAATGTTTGAGATGTGAATATTGTCTAATGCATTTATTAGTTGTTCTAATTAAATAAAGTACAATTATTCTTGAAATCTTGTCAAAACAAGAATTCCAGCTACCTTTTCACAAGCCATCAGGCTATATATATATAGAAAACTGACTATATAAAGGAAGGGAATATTTTTAGTACTAGATTTTGCTGCGTGACTAAAAAATAATATTGACCCTAATTGTAAATATTGAGAACAGTGATTATATGTTAACATTAAGATTTTTTTTAAAGTTCCTAAGTAAACCTCCAATTAAACTCTGGGTATAACATTGAATTGTGTGTATACCAATAAGAAAATTATGCAGAGAAAGGAGAAAAAAAGAGACACAAAGGAAGAAGAAGGAAGAAGATTCCATGCGGCCCAAGAGAGATTTCATAGGGTTTCCAGCACTCCCTTGCAGAAGATGAAGACACTGATTATGTGGGTTCTGGTGGGAGAGGGTAACAAGCATTGCGACTATGTTGCCAGCGGGTCTTCCCTGTTGACTGGCGCTTCACCACTGGACACTTCTGAGGTGGGTCCCCTCCTTGCCACTGGGCACAAGCCATTCTGCACATGTCACTCCAAAGGCCACAAGGGCCGGTGGGGATCAGGAGCACCCAAGCATGGCAAGAAAGACCAACCAGTGAGACATCTAGAAGCTTAAAGGGGATACTTTCTCTTATTCTGATGGCTGAGAAACGTAGGGGTGAGACTTGAACTCCTGCCCACATGTGGCTGCCAAGAGGAAACCCGGCCTGAAGACACAGCAAACATAGATGAGAACAGAACAACAGTCAATGCAAAGAAAAAGCCAGACCCCCGATCAGGTACATGTAAGTGTGACCTACACTTGGGTGTGTTAACCATGAAATCCTTTTTATTGTTAAAACACCTGTTGTTGGGTAATTGTCAACTAAAAGAGTCCTAACTGACAAAAAAGTTTCCCTAACTTGCAACCAAAGAGACTCAACTTAAGCAACACACTGAAGAAGGCAAACTAATCTAGAGATTTACACATCTGTATAACAAACATCTCCCATTCAATTCTGGTATTCTAGCTTATCACATAGCAGAAATGGAAATTTAAATCTAACTTGCCAGAAATCATCAGATCTGAATAACAAGTGATAATGATTCATGTAATTTCCCAACGAATCATATAAAAGGGTGGTTTTGAAGAAAATTGTCTATGAGTTTAAATAAGAATTTTAATTTTTCCCTATTGCTAGAATTATTATAAACAGTTCAGCAACACTAAAGTCAGAGATGTAATCTTTAGGTGAGTTATGTAACAGATTATATGGTGCTGCCAAATTTCCACATAAATACCAAATAGTATCCTCTTTAAAAATGCAGAATTTCACTATAGAATTCAGTATAATTATTGCAATCAACACATTTAAAAGGACTTTGGTATTTCCCTTAACACCTATATCTCTGTAATAAGTCAAGATATAGTCTTAGCCCTAACCGGTTTGGCTCAGTGGATAGAGCGTCAGCCTGCAAACTGAAGGGTCCCAGGGTCGATTCCAGTCAAGGGCATGTACTTTGGTTGCAGGCACATCCCCAGTAGGGGGTGTGCAGGAGGCAGTTGATTGATGTTTCTGTCTCATCGATGTTTCTAACTCTCTATGCCTCTCCCTTCATCTCTGTAAAAAATCAATAAAATATGTAAAAAAAAAAAGAGATATAGTCTTAAAGTTAACATAAAGAATAATATCATTATGCTTAAATAACGATTATCTGCAAAAATATACATGTTGCCTAATTACAATCACTGATACAGGTATGTGATAATACACCTTTATTTTTACTCACATCTTTGAAAATATTGAAAAGCTAAAGATTGGCCTTGGTGTTTGACAAGTTTGTCAATTGCCATGGCAACTTTTATTCAAAGAGGAAGGCTATTTTTTACCCAGGAATTTAGAGGCATAAGTTATTAAGTTCCAGGGCGAAGCCCTGGGCTCAGTTATTCAGGGGAGCCATAAAATAGCTGTCTTAAGAATGTGACATTTCAGCACTATTAAATGACAGGGACCATATCCTGTCCTGTATAGGAGTGATGGCACTTAACGAGTTGTCAAAAGCCAATTCAGGCACAAAGATTTTCCTTTTCTTCTCAAACACAAACTATTTTTAACATCATAGAAAATAAAACAAAACCCTACTAAGAGACGCCTAGTTGCCAATTCACTTAGGAAACCAACTGTTACTGAAAGTAGATGGCACAGTAGGTAGCTATAAACCCTATAAATCCATTCTTCTCAAACATGCTGGGAAATGAGCAGCTGTAAATGAAAAGAGGATAGACAGCAAACACACAGAGGAAAAGTCATCGGAAGTGTAGCCTAAACATTCGGCAACGGGCAATTTACACAATTCCTAACTCATTGCCTTTTTTTCTATCATGGGGGTCAAGTTGATTTTATGGTGGGTAATTTTTATGAATGCCTCACATTGCCTTATGCAGTAATAGCACTTGAACTCCAAATTTATTTCACTGTGTTAGTCATTTGAAATATCTGGATACAAAAAACATAATCAAAGTTCTTAGGTAAAGCTATTTAGCATTGAATCAATTTGTTACCTCACAAAGATAGTTCCATAATAAATACAAGATTATAATTTCAACTGTTCCTGCCAGATATTAATATATATCAAATATATAAATCATTTCTTATACAAATCATTTCACAATAACTATATAGTGCATTTAAAGTTAAAGCTATTTTAAAGTATTACCTGTATATATTAAACCCTTCAAAAACAAAGAGTTAGTATAGTCCTCTTTGATATAAAAACATGTTAATATAAGAAACCAAAGAACATGGTAAAGAAAAAAGAGAATAAACATGATGAAATTACTAGTTAGGACACAGAAAACAGTCTTGAGAAGTGTATACAAGATGAAATGGAAAAGATAATGAAATAAGTGTCTAAGATAGACAACAATATAAATTATATATGTATAGTAGTAATATTTATATTTTTTCTTAAACATATATACATATAAATGCTTTTAAAAACATTAGAACAATTTCTCTGAAGTAAAGATTTAAATGCTTTTAAAAACATTAGAACAATTTGTCTGAGATAAAGATTTGAACCTGTACATCATGTCCCAAGAAAATTTACAATAGGATTTTGAGTACTAAGAATTTTCCTATTACTCAAAATATTCATGGATTTTTTTTAAATCATAAAAATCTAGAAAAACAAATCAAGTTCTCTATAAGGAGGAAAAAAAAATGAGATAGTCTAATACTTCCTCATAATATCCAGTGGAAACAATGCCCACACAATGTGAGATAAAGAAGTTGTGACTCAAGAATGTTTTACCCTGCAAAGTTGTAATTTAAGTATAAAGGCAACAAATATATTTCTAATACATACAAATGCAGAAGGAATAGACCATAAGTGGGACTTTCTTAAAAATGTAGTAACTGCCAAAGCCGGTTTGGCTCAGTGGATAGAGCGTCGGCCTGCGGACTGAAAGGTCCCAGGTTCGGTTCCGGTCAAGGGCATGTGCCTGGGTTGCGGGCACTTCCCCAGTGGGGGATGTGCAGGAGGCAGCTGATCGATGTTTCTCTCTCATCGATGTTTCTGACTCTCTATCTCTCTCTCTCTTCCTTTCTGTAAAAAATCAATAAAATATATTAAAAAAAAATGTAGTAACTAATAATACAACCAAAGCAATCAGGAGGTG